TTAATTTGACCAAATTGAAGAATATTTAAATACATATGAAGAAATTCCGATAAAGATTTTGGTTTTTCTTGTTCAGGAATTATAACTCCATGCTAAAGTACGAAAAAGAATGAATAAATAAAATAAATCATTGATATTTCTTACAGCTCGAAGTTCTCCAATAAATTTAGAAATATTTATCGCTCTTTCTATTTTCGCTTTAGTATTATCAATATTTGTCCAATTATTATTAAGGTTCTTAATTAAATCACGTACATGAATATAAAGTATAACATTAAGAAGAGTTTTTGTTGCTACTTTTGGTACAGGACAATACATTAATGATTGAGATTGTAGCACAAATGATATCATATTTATTAATTCATTTGAACGAACTGGAATATGATTAAACAAAGATATATCTTTTGGACATTTTTTAACATAAGTTGAATTATCTATTGTACTAATTGATAAATTTGAATTATCTGTTTTATTAATTGATAAATTTAAATTAATTTTGATTGCTTGAGATAATTCGTAATCGACTTTTTTATTTGTAAGAAAAACATCCGTTCGATATTGAAATATTGTTAAACAACTTAGAAAAATAATCAATGAGAAAGAATATTTTTTATAATAAATCCAATAAAATGTTGAATTAATAATAATTTTCAGACACATTTATAAGATTCTAAAATGTAAAAAATAGTGTGAAAAGAACTATAAATAAACGAAACAGGGTGGTTCCATTTCTTCCTGCATGGCAAATTCGTTGTTCTCTTTTTTTTTTGAAAAGTTTTATTATTTACAAAGAATAGCTTATTCGATACTTCATCTTTTCAAAATAAACAAAAATCTGCGTAGGTAATTGTCACATGTTATGAATTAAAGTGAATCAATTTTTTTGCTCAAAAATAAATGCTTTAGAATTTTATTTATTTTGAAATTGAAACGACCGGATCAGTTGTGTTTTGTATATATTGGGTTTCTTTTCAACTTTTTGTGAAAATAATTGATAACTACTGTAGATTAATCCCTATTAAGTTTGATAGTCTAATTTGAGTTAAATTAAAATAGTGAATGATTAGAGATATATTTACCTTATTTATAATTTTAAACAATATGAACAATACTATGAATCTACGTGTACGAGTGTTTTTTTTGTCGTTCTCTTTTCATCTGTCTTCTTTGTTATTGCAGAAATTTATAATGTCTTCAGACATTCATGGCAAAGAAAGAAAAAAGTACATTAAGGGTGGAGTATCGCGCTGAAAAAGTACATTTTATTTTATTATAGGACAAGAAATTTTTAGATGAAAATAGAACAAATTTAAAAGTGCATTCAAGTAGAAGAAAAAAAGAATCAAAAAATCTGGTTTCCTTTGATTATAATCAAAAATATTGTAATTGAGAAATATTGAACTCATTTATTGAAAGATTAATTATGCCTTCAGTCGAAAGAATAATGCATTCGATGATAACTTTCTATTTATTACCATATAAGATAATGACATAAACTCTGATTGAGAGTGGGTGTGTGGATAGGAATATGAATAATAGATGATCATAATACTGTCACCTTCAACCATACCCTTATGAAGGTTTATTTCATAAAATTTATAATATTTTTTATTGGTTTCAGAAGCTTCCTGTTTTGTCTAGATGATATTATGACATTGAAGTAGAAAAAGAAGTTTTTTTGAAATTGTTATACTCTATCAAATGAAGCATCTTTTCGAAATCTTAATTACGTGATCTGCTAATTGAGATGTTCCATTATATATCGATAGTCATTTCTGAAAGATGACTTTATAAATTGATATGATTGTTATATAATTTTAATGGTGAATATTTTTGTAGAATGTTTATGAGAACGTAAAAATGAATATGAGGGAAAAAGTTCTTCAATTAAATATATTCCTTTTATAGATCTTTTGTTAAGAGATTTCAATTATTGAACTATTAATAATTTCTTACACTAACCATCTCATGATAACGTGCTACCGCAATTTGAATGTATAAAATTACTGTTCGATTAAGGAACATTCTTTCAGTCTGAAAATACATTTAATTCTCTTTGTTTACAAAAAAAATAAGAAATAGCATTATTAAATTCGAGCAAATAACAATTCTCGGATTAGTTGTTCGACTTAACTAATAGTTTATAATAAGCCAGAACGAGAAATACTTAATTTACTAAATCGAAACTATTTCAAATTCATATCAAATTTAGATAAATATTAGTTAAGATTCGTTTCAGCAAATCTTTACATGATGGAATTAGTTCAGATATGAAAAGTATACACAAGTTTTATTTTTTTTGATCGATGAAAACATAATGCACACATATCGCAAAAATTCTTTTCTTCTAATATATAATTTTATATATATTTTTTAATACAGTGGAACTATTAAAATTTAACTACAAGGTAAGGAGTTTGAATCAAACAAATAGCAAAAAAAATTCGAATAAATCGTGATATCAAATCACCGTATTGTCAGAAATAATATCACCAAAAAAAAATGAATTGAATTTTTTTGTTAAAAACTATTGATAACCATAATTTCATAATTACTTACCATATCGTTTACTACAAATGGTATAGATGATTCGGTCTATTCACTCAATAGTCATAAGTAATTGATGTTGAAAAAATCTCTATGTAGTAAAACATCTATTTATCGCAAAAAAAATAATAGAAAAATGATTCAAATGGTTAATAAAAACAGTTTAAAAAGTATTTTATTCAATAGGAGCATGAAGCGATAAAGTTCTAGGTACATATTGTATTCAATGGACTGCTGATTTTTTTATATAAACGTTCAGTTATAATTTTGATGTATAGTCAATAAATATATTCTAGATAACATAAAACAAATTTTTTTTCTTCACATAAATAAATATTATAGAACAATATTTATTTCAACCACGTGAGTTTTAAGTGTCGCCAGTTTTTTTTCTTTTCCTCTATGATATTCTTGTATCATATTATCAATTGATTGTAAAAGACATATATATGTCATAGGGCGAATTAAAATTTTAAATTCCAATAAACAGCAATACATACATCTTTATTCTTCTTTACATGTATTTTATATTACAGATATATTATTTATTTAAGTGACATAATCGTTGAAAAACGTATTATCTTATAAAAAAAAGTTTGATTTAATCTGACGAGTCGTTCCATAAAAGTCTATGGAATATTAGAATCATACAAAAGAATAGATTTTCTTGCTGCTGTTCTCAAATTATTGAAAAAAAACTAGATTGACTCAAATATGTATGATAATCAAACGTGAGTGGGTGTATCTAATTTATCTCACCGATACCCACACCCTCAAGATTACTATAAATTTTATTTCAACCCTTTCGGGATGCGTAGTGATACTCCATATATATCATAGCCTTTTTTTAAATAAAGACATACTATATGTTAACTTTATTTTCTTCCATGTTTTCTCTACATGAACTTATCATGCTGTATCTTCCTAATTTATTCTCTTGTATACACAAATTTACACAAAATTTGTGAGCTCATCATATATTTGTATTCCAGCTACATCTTCTTCAGTTCTACTGCCATACGTCGATGTGTATATGTTCTCTTTTCTTTTTATAAAGATCAAAGATATTTTCTTTGTTGTATTACCTTATCTTCCCTTTCTTCTCCTTTCCAGGCTTATGTATAAATGTATATCCAACACAAAGATAAAAAAATACTTCTGTATGATTAATGATTTGCTTACAATTGATTATTCTCATACGAAATACAAGAGTGAAGCTAATTCATATGAATTTCAAGTCTTAAAGTTCAAAATATTTGCATTTTTATTTAAAAAAATTTAACTTTAATACGAACTTTTCTTCTATTCTGTTAAAATTACTGATGGAAAATATGAAATAAATAAAAAATTAAGCAATTTTTTTAAAATCAAAATATAAGATTTATTTGATCATAAATCATTTATGTAATAGAAAGATGATTACTCATCTTAATCGAACTTGCACCTCTTTTCTACCACAATAAACACATCTCCTTCGTGTTCTATTGTCAGGAAAATGTATTCCAACGATTTAACTGGATAAAGAAGTTTGACTACTGAAACCTAATAATTCAACAAAGAACATATAAAGTGAATTTAAATTTCTGTTAAAAATAGTTAAATATCTATACAAGAGTAATAATCTTCTTAATACGGAGCGAAAAGCAAATATGTTTAAGTGTACATGAAATATTTGTCCCATCGAACAAATAGATGGTGCAATTCATCTACCACTGCCCTGGAACAGTTAAGCTTTTATACAATAGTTTTAAGATATCAAGGCATTTCTTTTCCTGTCATGGATGATAATCGTTTTGAAACTGAATGTCAAATACAATTATTTAAGAATGTAGATGAATAACGCATCAAACTGATAACCTTTTTTTATATCAATACTCTCAATTCGTCCTTTTATCAACTGTACTCGTGACAATATATTTTGATTTTATATTAAAACATTTAACTTCATGATATAATTTATAGTTCTAAAAATTTATATGGCTATTAATGTCTTAAAAAATTTGACTTTAAAGTTATAAATATCTTTTATTACATATTTGCGCACAATCTTACATGATTGATTTATATTTAAAGAAATTAAAAATATTGCCAGTAAATATTTTTTTATTACAAAATAGCAGGTGACACTCAACAATATTGATATTTAACATTATATTCTATCAGAAGTAAATATGATAACAAAAATTTATTACCTATCCACACGAATTAATACTTCTCAAGTCATATGATATGAGCTTCGTTTTATTTCTCTCGGACTATATAATAGATTGTAAAATGAAGGTCTTCATGTTAGTATTGATATATTCATAATACTTCAAATATCAGGTAAGTAATTGCACAAGATATTTAAACAAGCTCACAATATATTTTGGTGATCGAAATCATAGAATCCTCTATATTTCATATACAAGAAGTTGTATCTAACTATTTTGATTACTTTCTTTTTAGAGATAAATCAATTATTCGACTTTTATGCTCGAATTTAACTACAAAGCCATGCGGAAAAAACAAGAAGAAAATGAGTTTGAAATGAAAGATTTGTCACTGAATCATGAACAAAAAAAGACACTTTTGAAGGCGCCAAAACTGAAGCAACAAACACGATCAAAGTGAGCATTTTGTAGACTAATCAATCATATATAATGAACTTCAATTGTATTATTTATAGATCACGGCAGCAACATGGGGTTTGTTCCGCTCGACATAGAATTTTTTATACAACTCTTCTATTACTATTCATTGTCGGCGGCATTATGGCAATAACAATTCCTCGTTACGTAGCATATAACAAGGATAACATCAATAGTGAAAACCAAGGTAAGTCGCTTTTGTCATTCCTGAAAAAAAAATATTTGTGAGTTTATATTCTACTTTGTATGGAAAATGATTTGTAACTGTAATAACGGATTCTGAAAGAAAAAGTTCCTAGTATTAATAACATGAACTGTAAGATTATGATGTACACAAATACGTTAAACATTTACCTATGAGTTAATAATTTCGAGAAATTTTTCTTCTCATATTTTCTAGAAGAATCGATTGATTCCTATGAAGATGATAGCTCGAACTTGAACATGGTAGAATTACGAGACCATGCATCAATATCAGCCGAATCAATGCAAGATGATGATGATGATGACAAAGATGATCAGACTCCGCAATTACGATCAGGTTCGGTATATGTAAGTAGAGACTATTTGTTAGCACATGTATTTCTTTTCTTTCTCATTTCAATAGAAGTCTAGATCACGTGAAAGTCTTGGTCATATGAATGTTTACCTTCGTAAGCAACATCGTGATGCTACTCTACGACGACATCAAAAATTTCGTTTTCCCGTGGCTCGTTATGATCGTCAACGATTTCGTATGTATTATTGGATGTGTTGTTTTCGATGTCTAATTACATCGTTTTTTTAAGCTTTGAAGGGTCCATTCTTAAGTTTTTCGCCTTGGATTCCAATATTTGCTGATCGATTAACAAAACAAACGATTATATATTCACCAACTGGAGGCGGTGAGTAATTATATTTTCAGATATATTAATAATCGAATTGTATTTTTATAGTTTACATTTTACCTCCAGTAATTAACTTTTATGGTAAAATGTATTCAGTTGCGGAACTGATTGTATCTGGTTATGCTAGTTTGGTTAGTAGTGGTGTTCCACCAACTGGCCCAATTAATATGATGTCTTATTTTCAACCGACACCTTGTTTGTTTTGATTTCAAATAATGTTTTTCTTATAATTTTCTCTTGTGTGTTTAGTATATGGTGCTGGTATTCCGAGATTTAACCCATTAAGAGGTAGTTTTGATGGTGGTATTCGAACGGAATATAAATCTTTCAATATTCGACAATCTCCAAGAACAGTTACCAACATAGATCCAACATCTGAATCGGAGGAAGGCAGTGATGAATCACCATCATATTCACAAGATAACTACAACAGACCAGATTCAGAAGAGAACTACAACAGACCAGATTCAGAAGAGAAGTACAACAGACCAGATTCCGAAGAGAACTACAACAGACCAAATCGACGTCCGCGTCCATATCAACGCCGACGCCCATATTCACGTTCGCATTTTAGTACAAGTCGTAAAAGTACAAGAAAAAGTACTAGTACAAGTGCAAGCACCAGTACAAGTG